CTAAGACAGGTCATTGTGAGGAATGAGCGCAAGGCCAGCAATCTTCCTCAGTAATTAGTCATCGATTTAAAAACTTACCATCACTAAAAATGCAAACGCGAAATAACTGCAAAGCCACGCACTGATGTTCGTGGCCGGAACGGCTGCGGTAAGCGACACGGCATTACGTCATCGACGGCTTAGGCCGCTTCCATACGATGGCAGTCTCTCCATCTGAATCGCACTGGAACAATCATTGGATCCTCATCAATCCGCCACTACATAAGCGACTTCCAATTGCGAATCCTCATCGCACACTGAACTTATAGAATGCTTCCCTGAGGCGTAAGATCAATGGAAAAGGGCAATACAACCCATGCAACGACCACAGCCGTATCAATGATCCGCCACAACTATAGCCAAGTTGCCGGTCCAGAGAACACGGTCAGAAACAGCCGTGCACGGTCGACGAACTTCCTGAACGCAGCACCAAACAGCTCGGATCATAATAGCTCGGCCGGATAGCCGGAGGCAGAGATTGCGCTATTCGGGTAGAAGGCGTTCACTTTACTTCAGTCCAATCGGTTCCAGCATTGACGTCGACGGAGAAAGCCGGTCTGCACGGGTAGGCTAAAATCCGATCAACATTACTAGATTAATTTATGCCAAAGTATCCGGGACAATCGCCTCAGAGGTGGAGCATCAAGCTTTACCTCTGGCACTGGACAACACAGGGAACATCGGCGGGGGGTGGGCTGTAGACACTCGGTACGCGGAAGCGCCAATCTGCGCCTGCTTCTGCGATACGTCGCTCCGCCAGCCGCTTTTTCGGTGGGATGTAAGCGTGTTATGGGCTAAAGAGCGGAGTCTTTGTGCAGATCAAAGAGCTTACAACGACTTCGTCATCTGAAGAAGAGTTTGAAAACTAAGCCGTCAATATGGCGCGAGTTATAGGTGGCTTCTTTATTCAGGTTGCTATAGACATTGAATGCTTCTGCTGCTTCTCTAGCAGCGAGCGCCGAGACTGAGCACTGAAACGGAAGTGATGCCAGGTAGTGCTCTGTAAAATCTCGTGGTATTTGTTACTCATGCCGTCAGGCAGAACGGATGCGCAGAATTCCAAGCTTTTAGGACGTCCACCTTTTCTTTTGCTAAAGTTTTTGAGCCCTTTGGGTCTCCAATCCAGGTCTGCAGCGCCGTTTGCTCAATTCACATGCAGCTCAGCCCTGCTCCTCTTCTTTTCCTGCTATGGGTGATTCTGTATGGTTTCATGCAGATGATATTCATCAACTACTCGCAGTATGGTCCTCGTCGACTTCTTGATACCCCTGATCAACATCGAGCAAGTTAGTTGTTTGGGCTCATAATTTGATGCGGAATTGGAACATAGTATTATACTTGCTTCTCTCGTTTTTCAATAGAAAATTTTGCACCACGATATAGCCAGACCCTATAAGCCAAGCATTCTGTTCAACTTGAGCTTTTCATGCTTGGCGCGGAGATCCCAGGCTCAAATGGGAATAGGGTTGCTAGACGCTCTACTATCGTGAGAGAATCCAACATTGCACTTGGGCATACAATTATCTTATTTCGCGACCATCGTATATGTAGTTATATTAATATGTTGGCTTTAGTTTATCATTTTAGTATGGCGAGATAGGAATCAATTCGAGAATTATGGGTGTCGGAGGTTTATGGCGTCGCGGCACAGGACTTATCTAAAATGATCACCCAACCCGTTGAAGGGAACTCACTGGTGACCTATCAAATAACGGGCGCCAGTCAGTAAGGCCTCGAGGGGCGGCTGGCTCTCTGGAACGGGGGGGCGACTATCGGTTGAATATTTATACGGGCCAGTATAGAGGACTTCATGGAAGCAGAGACAAGTGATATGTATTTTCGTCGCCTGTCTTCACCATCGATGTACTCGAGTTGATAATCAGAGATACTGAGTTCACTCAAGGTGTGTTAAGGTAAGAGACGTAAGTTCTGTGTCATTTAAAGTGTTGCTTAGCTCCCATTAATGATTCAATCTGATCACAAAAGTATAGTAGAACTACTTCTTTTCACACTCATTGCGACCAATATTCTCGAACTCGATGGAAAGCAAGATGCCATTTACAGAAAGGATAATGCTCTTAGGGATTTGGTGAGGGGATACAGAAAGAAGTAAGAACCATGAGTACATGATGCACGCTGCAGACCCGATTGTACATAAGTTTACCACGTATCTTCATATCGCGACTCGCGTGCTTACTTTTCCTCGTTACGGGTTCTGCTGATACCTTATGCGAAGATTTTCGAGCTACGTGCTCGCTCCAGACTATTTTGTAGGTGCATTGAGTAAGTTAATTGCACGGACTCGGTCAAAATTTGTTAGCTCTATTGCGACACTCAAGCCTGGTACGCTCTAGAGTGACGCTGCTTCCCTCAGGGATTAATGGTCGGGGCATTTCCTTCTACTTGAGTCTTGGAGGCCGCTTCATACTTACCCTCCCTTCCTCTTTTCTTCCCCATGCATACCTTCATTCTAACGTGAATTCCCCTTTAAGCTGCGCATTGTCGGCTTACATCCCCGTTATCATTTCTTGGATTGGATTCCTTACCGATCGACAATTCGCAGTGCGCATTGGCTCGGTGTTTTCCACTTTCCGGCATGTCACCAGTGGTGCTCCACACGGCGAAGTTTTGTCTCCGCTGCTATTCAATATTTACACCTACGATTTACCTAACATTATTAATTCCGCGGATGTTAAATGTTGCGCTTTTGCAGATGATCAAAAAATTTACGACAGGGTTCGTTCTTGCAGGGATAGGGAAGCTATTCAGTTGGCCATCGATCATGTTTTCAACTGGGCGAGTGAATGGTCTCTACCACTGTCCAAGAATAAAACTAAATTGTTGCACGTTGGATCTCGAAATCCTGCATTCTCCTGCAGGAGTTGGTGGGTCTCTGACCACACCAGTGGCGAAGGTCAAGGATCTTGGCTTTTTGGTTACTAGTGACCTCTGCTTCGACCAGCATTGCGAATTTGTGGCTAATCGGGGTTACAATGCAACTTACAGGCTGTTCAAAGCCCTGCTCTACTAGAATATTCCTGTCCTTCTCCATACCTTCAAAACCTATGTCAGGCCTTTGCTTGAATATGGAACGGTGGTTTAATTCATACAAACGTAAATACATTGGTATGATTGAAAAGTTCAGATCAGTTTCACCATAAAGCTCATGATCAGGGCGGTCAGATTCTGCTATGGAAGCATCCCCAATATGTAGCAACGAAAGGAACTTTAACTTTGGACTACAGTCACTCCAATGGAGGAGGAAGAAGTTTGATTTGTTAATGCTTAACAAAATCCTACACGGTCTTACTGGTCTTAATAGCGGGGCATTTTGTACTCTTAGACCGTCTATTACCAGGTTTGGCTCAAGAAAAATTCTCAATTCCACTGCAAAACTCAATTATCGCTTTCCACTTCTTCTCTATGAGCGCCAATTTGCTATACACAACCATGAGCAAAAAGACCGCTATCCCTGTCAGTATCCACTCACTCCGTAAAATCATTTGGGTAACACACTCGGATCCTTGGTGACCCTCACCTTGCTTCTCCGGCTCAGCCGTGCTGTGTATGTTTCCCTCTGTATGCTCGCTAATGATTATAGTCACATTTTATCCTTCATTAGTATTGTGTTTTTTCGTTTAGATTTTTGGTTAACTAAGGCTATGGAGAAGGACAGAAATATTCTAGTAGACAGGGCTTTGAACAGCCTGTAAGTTGCATTGTAACCCCGATTAGCCACAAATTCGCAATGCTGGTCGAAGCAGAGGTCACTAGTAATCAAAAAGCCAAGATCCTTGACCTTGGCCACTGGTGTGATCGGAGACCCACCAATACTGTAGGAGAATGCAGGATTTTGAGATCCAATGTGCAACAATTTAGTTTTATCCTTGGACAGTGGTAGAGACCATTCACTCGCCCAGTTGAAAACATGATCGATGGCCAACTGAATAGCTTCCCTATCACTGCAAGAACGAACCCTGTTGTAAATTTTCAGATCATCTGCAAAAGCGCAACAACTAACACCGCGGAATTAATAATGCTAGGTAAATCGTAGGTATAAATATTGAATAGCAGCGGAGACAAAACTTCCGCCTTGTGGAACACCACTGGTGACATGCCGGAAAGTGGAAAACACCGAGCCAATGCGCACTGCGAATTGTCGATCGGTAAGGAATCCAATCCAAGAAATGATACGGGGATGTAAGCCGACAATGCGCAGCTTAAAGGAGGAATTCACGATTAGAATGAAGGTCGAAGAAAGGGAAACTGACCTAGTTGAGGGACCCACGGACCTCCTGAGGGTGCGAACTGACGCGCAATTCGCATGGAAAAATTTGACCTCGGCGACCTATCATGCCTCAAAGCTGGCGGGTCCGGCGATCTCGCATCAATGCTCAATCAACGGGCAAGGAAGGGGTCCCATTTCTCGGGTTCTGGGCCGTTTCTCATGGTTCTTCCTTCTTTCGTGTACCACTCACCATCCCTAGGTTAATTTGAAATGGGTTGCTTTTTCATCGTGAATTCGTCCTTTAAAAGAAGTACTGTGTTGCACCTTATCAAAAGTCTTACAAATGTTGAGATAGATGACATCAGTAGGATAACCGCTATCCAAGTCCTTAGTCCAAATATTAAGTGTCCCCAACATCGCAGTTACTGACCCCTTTTGAAGCCCATGCTGGCTGGGTGGGATAGTATGTTCCTCGAGGTAAAACTCGATCCTTTTCTTCAGAATCTTCTCAAAAAGTCTAGCAAATATGGAAGTTATACTAATTGGACGATAATTATCAGGAAGTGGATGGTTGTTTCTTTAATAGTGGCGTAACAAAAGACATCTTCCATTTGACTGGGATCTCCGCGCGCATGAAGCTCAGGTTGAACAGATGCTGGCAAGGGGACTGGCTATAGCGTGTGCAATTTTCTTGATAAAAACCGAAGGAGCATGATCTATTCTCGATAAAAACCAATGGAGCATGATCAGGGGTATCAGAAGTCGACGAGGACCATACTGCGAGGAGTTGATGAATATCATCTGCATGAAACCATACGGAATCACCCATAGCAGGAAAAGAAGAGGAGCAGGGCTGGGCTGTACTGGTATCCGATGGTGCAAAGGCTTTAGCAAAACTGTAAGCTAACAGCTCGGCTTTCTGCTCATCCGTTCTAGCAGTAACCCCATCTACAGATTTTAGAACCGGAATCCTGAGCCTGCTGTGAAGTCTCGAATTCATTAGACGATAAAACGACCCTTTATCGGCAGAACGGATTACTTTCCTTTCAATGAAGTCGTTGTACTTGCGCAATCTCCTAGCAAAAATAGCATCTATGCGACGGTAAGAGGTCCAGTCCTCAACGGACCCGCTAGCAACGGCGAGCTGCCAGGCAATATATTTACGGTCATGAAGAGAGCGGAGGTGAGGGGGAAGGCGCGTTTTCTGCAAAGGTAGTCTCGCTACGGGAACAAATAATTGGATGACATGGTGCAAAATGAAGATAAAAAGCTCGTATTTATCACTGACGGTTGCCGCGCTATTAAACGATCCAACCCAATCAATGTTCGATAAGTACTCACATACAGCACCGTTCGCGTTCTTATACATTCTTTTTGACACAAGGTGGCCTTTACAAGAGGTAAGATTAAGATGAAAGAAAATAGCAGAGTGGTCACTGGTGCCAATGGGTGGGCCAACATCATTACTCTTGACCAAGCTCTCTGATAAAACTAGATCAATTGTACTGGAACCTGTGCGTATTAACAAATTGTCAGAACCCATGAGATTTACATAGATCTAAAAATGCTTTAGACGTAGAAATGGTAGCAGTGGGATGAGCACCAGACGCCCACCTGATATCGGGCATATTGAAGTCACCGCATATAATGCAGGCTTGATTACATGAGGTCATATCACTGATTGCTTTAAGGAGTTGGTGCACGTGAGCGATGAACAGGAGGGCGCTCTGTAAATCAACAAAAGTCGCACTTTTATTTCAGGCTATGAAGTCGCAGCAGAGGATTTCGTAGGCCTTTGGAAAAGATTGACAAAAAACCAGCTCAGGACAGAGTGATTTGTGCATAATGAAAGCAACTCCCCCACCTTTTTCCTAGAACGGTCACAACGGAGCATTTCATACTGTGACGAGCATGGATGAGTTAACTTTGGAATTAAGCCATGTTTGCACGACAGCAATGATATCGTAATGAAATTGTGAATCGCAAGAAGAAGCGTTTCCCTGTTCTTGATAGCCCATCTGAAATTCGTAAAAAGAAAGGTTAGACGATGCTGCTTGTGCCCCTCAATCCGGAGATGGCTCCTCAGTTTGAAGTGACAGGAGAGGGGGCAGAGACTGGAGGATGATGGATTGAAGTTTGCACTACAACAGAGGTAGGTTGAGTTGGAGCAGCCTGACTGTTACGACGAGCCAGTCGCTCTGTACGAAGTCTTTCTCTTTCCTCCTTGGGAAGGGATGGACGGAGAAAGACTCCAGAATGCCTATAATGTTTTAAACGAGGGGCTCGACGCAGCAACAATTTAGCAAAGAACGAAGAAAGGCTGAACAACTTTGCAGAGCCTAGGGTGGCCGTTGTTGTGACGACCCAATCTGTACACCGAGATTGTAGAGCAGTCAATTGATAAGAAATTCATGATGTCTCTAACAGCATGATAGTCATGCATTACACGAGAAGAGGACACAGGATCCAAACTTTCAGAAACACCGGAAACAATCACGGAGCGACGGCGCTCCACTTCCTCAAACGAACTAATCACAGGAACAATTGGCTTAGGAGAAGTCGAAGGATCTGGAGCAGAAACAATAGATACACCAGAAAGAGAATCAGAAAGTCGTTGCTTAAGCTCAGCGTTTTCTGACCTTAACTTAGTGACCTCATCAGATAATTCTTTACATAATACAGAAATTGAATACATCTGTTTACGTTCTTCAAGCAACCATGCTAGAACGGTCCTCAAATGGGAAGGCATCGACTCGTCCGAAAGCAGCAGTTCAACTTGACGATCTAAATCAGGCGAAGAGCCAGGAGAGCCAGAAACTTCGAGGCAATGACGCTTGAGGGGGCCTTGGCGGAGGTTTTGAACAGAACTAGGAACAAGCGGAGTAGCGTTCATAACGCTAACCCAGTGACCAGAAACAAATAAACCTTGACAGGTGGCTTCAAAATCATGCAGACTTCATGGATCGGATTCTGAGCCACAAGGGAAGATGAAGAGCAAAACGGCCAAAAATCGCCTACTTACGGCGGAGATCGATCGCGCCACGACGATAAAAAAAAGGAATTTGGGAAGAAAGACCTTATGTGGTGGCAAGTTTCTTCTTTCTTCACGCACCGTGCTACCCTGGTGCTCGCGTAAGTCGTACAGTGCTGTATAGTAAGTTAGACGAGAAGCAAGTCAGAAATCAGTCGGAAGTATGCAGAGGCGAATGATAACCGACCGCTCGGCGCCCGCACAAGATCTAGAATCGATATATATCACAACTTATGCAATTTCCCTCATACATTAGTCACCGTTATGGTTGGTCAGCCTTTCATGGGATTTCGTAGTTGATTTCAATATTGATTTGTGCCTAAGGGTGTTGGTCAATAGCGGCTGGAGGTTTTACTTGGTGGTCGTTGGTTAGTAGTATTGATTGATGGCCTTGACCAGTGGTGGATCCACTGGCTGTACCTTATTGATTGCATTGTGATTATTGGGTTCTCTGGCTGTTGCTGGTTTGTCACCTGAGGTTATTGGTGCGACCGGACTCGCTTGTTGGAGACCGCTGGAGACGACTGGAGGGCTTGAGAAGACCTGTGAAGACCGCGAAGACTGGCCCGGAGTCTCCGACTGCGGTATTTATACCAGAAACCAGAATATACCAGAAATGGGTGATATTTATACCCGGGCCAGGGGCGGTTCCGCTTGAATGGCGTTTACGAATTGACTGGCAATGCGGATTGGTAGGCAATGACATTGAACGCTGTTTGAGTTAACTTAATCGATAGGATGGAGTCAGAGCCACATCGAGATCTTCGTCGCCATTTCATGACGAGACGTCATCGACCGCCTGGTGAGATGCATCTACTCGACTCAAACGCATGACCCAGGATCAATCTGGTGTGGTTGCGCACGAACACGAAAGCACTGGTGCGAAGTGAGCCGGTGGTTAAGGAAAAAACAAGAAGTATTCTCAGAGACTAACATGAGCAATGTTACTGACGAATAACAGTTATAGCCTTAATTACAAACCGTCAGTTCCCGTGCCCCCCTCCCCCCACATCCTTTTGTAAACATCCAGCATCGTGGAAATTCAGTTGATCCAGTACTAATGATCCTGCGCTCGTAAGGAATGAAAATCTCGCTCTGCTATACCACCTTGGACCTTTCTCAGCAATAACTTGCGGATGTTCCTTGGAGTCACTCATCATCGACGAGCTCGTTCTCCTGACATTACCTCTTACCAAGGAAAGATTTTTATCATCATGACAGAGGGCGAACCAGCTTGGACGAGGGTTCCCTCCTCACATCCTTCATCAGCCTTTATCAACAATCATCCGCTCCTGCCGATCACTTGATGTAGCCAACTTAAATTTGCTGTTTGGCAGTGTGAAGTTTCACTATCACAGCAACACGTGACCGCCTGCATACTACCGAATGCTGCACAAAAGCAAGTTCTACCGTTGGCCCGACAGCTGGACTTCTTTTTTTCAGCAGGATTTCCTAAGGAGTGCTACGAGGTCTATTCCCAAAGAAATGAGACCGCTGCATCGAACTACGTTGTAGAAGAATCATTTGGTTGCAATAGAGCGGATTACTAAATGTCTGCAACTTAATTTTCAGTTCAGAAAATTGTGTAATTCCTGTCATCTCCTAAACAATGGCCAAATATGTTTTCAAAGTTCAAAAACACGCACACATAAAATAGAGCCGTTTATGCGCCAAAATATAACCAGAATTTTGGTGCGACACCACAATGAAAGAACCATATTATTGATACAAGTTCATTGACAATGCACTTGAAAACGAGATATGAATGAAGTTTAGAGGTGTCGTGTATATCTTGCTGTCAAAACGGAATAATTGTGCACTATGCACAACCAACAACGTTCAGCATTCTTCCTTCAGCGTTCTTACCTCATCACATAAAACCATCGCGAGGTCAAATAGTGCTGAAAACTATAATATCAAAAATAGCGGCAAGCGGCTTTGGAACATCAACCCTGTGGTCTTCTTGTCAAAAAGACAGCAGGCACGCTCATTCAGACGCGGAGATCGGAGCAACAGTCTCAGCAGGGTTTTTACCTTCGACACTAATGGTGTGGAACGATGCGCTAGCCATACTCAAGAATACACTGCGTTTCATAAATTATAGGTCCACCCTAAATTTTTGCTACCCAAAGTTGCTGTGCATTTTTTGGAAATGCTGCTATCACCATTAGATTCCTCATCACGGAAAACCTTCATAGTGTTTTTCTGACAAAGTTCCCCCTCAAGTAACCCAATTAACTTTTTCAGAACGAATTTTCACCGTTTCATGAATATCGGGCCACTCATAAAAAGTTTCCATTTCTCATGATCCGTGAAGGGAATGGGAAGCGGGGATATATGTGAGCTCAGTCGACATCGAGTTTACCATACCTCGTGTTACTCGCCTCTCTTCCCAGTAACAAGCTCAAGCCAGAGCACTTACTGAAGTGGGATGGCTGAGGAGCAGAACTGCCTCCCATGTCGGCCGGCTCATGATGCATAAGCAACTATGTGCGAAATCCCGGTCTGTGCGGGAAGAAGAGTAGCCTTGGTAAATAATGACAGCGTTTCATTGAAAATCAAGAGGAATTGGGCGTCTTCTGTCGAATTGGATAAGGCGTCCGAACAAAGTCCGTGCTGAAATGCGGCCTTCCGTGAGCAAAACCACCGTGTGGTGAGTAAGCCAGCAGAGCAATACATCTTCAGCGGATTGATGAAGCGCGTTCCCAAGATTATTTGAGCGCTACAAGATCGCACGTCTCCATTTCTAGGTGGAAAAGGGCTCAAGTTAATGAACGAAGGTGTGGCTGCCAAGACCCTTCGCGATCTTGGACTCCACCTCCTTGTTTCATGCTACAGGTGATCTGGAATCGACGTGAAAAAGTTTATTCTAGGTGGATCTGATAGAAAAAGAGGGTACAGGAGGGTTCCGTGAAAATCGCAGATGGTTTTGTAACGTAATTTTGGCGGAGAATCCCTTATGGTTTGAGGCACCTTTGAACGACTGAGCGGCTAGAGCTCGCTTTGTTTCCTTTCACAGGATTCCATAGGGTATCGTGAAGTTCTTTGAAGCGACTTTTACCATTTTTCGACAACAGCCCCTCGATCCTTGATTTTTACGCACGATAACGCGGCTGTCCATGCCGGTCCTTCCACGCCAGATGGAATTGCAGGAAAAAATGTGGCAGTTATCTGGTGGCCACCATGTTATCTGAATCAGATTCCAATAGAGAATCATTGGGCCTTAATTGTTATAAAGTTCCACAGCAAAGTAAAGCAAAATGGAACAGCCGAAGAGCTGAAAACGTCGATCATCAGGCGCCAGACAAATTTCGATCCTACTGTAATAGCTAATTTGGTTACCAGCATTCCAAAACGTATTATTGTGTTCCTTATGACTAATGGAGGACCATCCCATTATTGAAAATTTGTGACGTTTTTTTGTTATAATAAAATCTCTCGACAAGTGATGTGTAGTCATATTTGCGAAACGGTGAAAATACGTTCTAAAAAGATATTTTAATAATTCTGAATCGAGATTTCTCCAGAAATCGAGTATCAAGGTTTTTCGTTATGGGGAAACTATTTGGTAATAGCGGCATTTCCCAAAAATGCACAGCAACTTTGGAATAGCAAAAATTTAGGGTGGACCTATAATTATGAAACGCAGTGTATAAGATGTGATTGCGTCCACTTCTGAGCCGTGGAGCTCCCTTTCTAGCGACTTTTCAAGGTGAGTTTTTGTTCAGTCACACTTCTTATGCTCTGACTAGGGCTAGCGCATCGTTCCACACCATTAGTGTCGAAGGTAAAAACCCTGGTGGGACTGTTGCCTTGAGTATACACGAGGTCAAAATTGATGAAGATTTCAAGTACTAAGTGAAAATCTGTCTAGAAAACCTACCGTTCAAAAAATCGTTAGGACTCGCTACAGAAGCAGATCCATTGCTGACACTTTATGGATCTCTTCGCTCCTTTCCAATGAAGTTATGCAGGATGACGGTTCACGACAGATTCTCCCGGAAACTCAACATTCCAAAATTTAGGGACGGTCTTGTACTGGAGAACTGCTAAATCCAAGGATGCTCCCGTGGGTTTGCCATGGGATTAACGGCATTAAGCAGGGCATGCGTCTTGCTTGTATCTGTGCTCTCTTGTCTTCATTCCTCGTGATGAATCGCATGGTCCTCAAAAAAAATTACAGAAAGGGGGCTTATTCGAGCCAAGCCGGCGGTTTTTTCCTCGCCATTGGTCTGCTCTGCACCGGCTACTGAACGCAACTATTTCCGCTCTTTATGAGCGGATGGCACATTTCTTTGCTTGGGCATTTCATTTCAGTTGATGATCTCTTGAATGCTAATTTTGTTACTTCTAGATTTGCAGCAACGACCCAGAGGGAGGCTTCGGTATATACCTGATTTCATTGAACTCCTTTTCAACACATTATTCCAATCAAATGGATGGAATAATGTCTACTTGCAACAGAAGACAAAACCTTACTTAGTACGGAGCTCTCCGCCTGTAGCCTGCCGTTCTGTAGTTCTGTCACGGTACTTGTCACGAAATTCCCTACTACCTGGAGATCAACCTGGAGAGGCCGGGTCAAGTGTAAATCGGGAGGGTCATGTCTCGTGAAGTGCAAAACAGACATCAGCTAATCAGAGCCGCGCCCGAAGGGTGCGTAGCGAAGTTAAATGATAATTATGGGCGTGGAGTGCACGAAAGTGTGCAGTTTGCTATCAAACTCATATCTCGGCTCCAAGAAGTCCCGTAGACCAGGAAAAGTTGATAGAAGTCGGGGAAGGAAATGAGTTCAAACGCTACTGGTGAGTGGGGCAGGCACGCAAAAAAGTGGGTGGAGTCTGCCTCCAAACTGTTTATAT